TTCTGCGATGTGATCCGATCGTGTAAGTGCAATATGACACGACCGGGTTAACCTTTGATGCATCTGTCATCTTGACGAAATGACCCAATCGTGTGGCTTAGTGGGACACGATCGGGTGGACCCTTGATTCGATCTTTACTTTCATGATGATGTAACCCGATCGTGTGACTTAGGGGGACACGATCGGGTGTACCATTGAAACTCGTCCTTCTCGGCATTTTCGCCTTTCTTTCGCTCCTATTGCTTGTACCTGCAATCATTTATGAACTGAGCGAGAATCAAAGCTAAACATGCATTTAAACATCTCAGATGACATAAAACGAAGTAAATATGTCGAACGGATCATATGAAAATACATGTATATTGCGTGTTATCAAGTACATATGATTTACAATATCAGTAATGTAATATGAATAAAACAAGATGTTCTGCTAAAGTTTTAAACTTGATTCAATACAACTTGATACGAAAGAGGTTCTTAAGAAATGAGATAGTACTAAATTAAAAAAAAGTTAACGAAGAAGAATCTCAGCGTTCCTCGGTAGACATCGACACTTCCTTTCCATTCGCAAATATATCACATGCAATCTTTTCGCGAATATAATACACCACCTCGTCGCTCACCTTATCCAATAAGGTGAGATAATTCCTGTAGGGTGCCTCCACATATTTGATGTTGTATATGCCGCATTCATTTAATGTTACGTTCTGAGGTAGATTAGAGATTAGCTCGATGGAAAACATCCTCGAAACATCTATTCGACCAGTCCCACTAATCATGAAGGACTATGGGATACTTCTGCGTAAGTGATGAATCACTTTAAGTGTCGCCTTCTTCATTCTCGAGTTGCAGTCATACACTTGAATCATCGTGTCCATGTAGTCCACTCTAATAGTGACCCAATGGACGCTTACATTAGGATCTACCAATGATGAAATATTCAACACACTGATAAAACCTTTGTATTGGTCCAATTTTCTTTTACCACCGTCAATTGGTAATTCACCACTCATGTATTGTCCAAGAAGGTCGAGATCTTTCTGCCCCAATTTCCACCATTTGAAGCATTCACAACACTGCACATCACATAGAAGGTACCTCCTACTGTCCGGTTCAAATTGGGGTACACGTTTTCGAATGTCATACATGGTTTCATCGATATGCTATAAAAAAAGTAGTCAAATGGGTCAAACAGTCGTCAAATTCGTCAAACTATATGTGAAAATACTTACTTGATCATTGAGCCATACACCTTCTTGTAGAAGGTCTTGCCAAAATTGTGGGTTTCGTAGATATTCCAGCCCCAACATCCATAACCTCTCTTCTATTGGTTTTTGCATAAACTTGAAGAGAGCACTCGCTTTTCATGTGTTTGTTTCAATAAAACTTTCAACTCGCACAACATTGTCATAGATCATAGGCTGTCGAGGCATCCACACATAACCCGGAGCAACTACAGATACCGGCACCAATGCAGATTCTATCGACATCAATGCACCTTCTTGTACTGGGCATGATGCACCTTCTTGTACTGGGACCAATGCAGATTCTACACGATCTTTTCTTCCCTTCTTTCCTTTTCTACCTCTTGTCTCTCTCTTTGCCCGTCGCTTTTTGGAGGGTGGATCAGTTGAACCCAAGGTAGTATATGAACTTTTAAAAGTTGTCTTTATTTCTCTTCGGTCGTTTACTACTCTGAACTGGATCCTTGGGAGCAGCAGGGACCTCCACATCCTCCTTTTCCTAAGCAGGTATTGTTGGTTTAGTGCTCTATGATGTACTGCTATATGAGCTTTGTTTTGATACATTTGATGTATTGACACTTACTATGGTTATATTAATGAGTGTTTGATTCATTACATGTTATGCATACTTTAATATGTTATGAAATCCATGTATTGTTATAAACAATTCTAAACTCTCTAGTCATATATCATTGTGGGAACAATGATGTACTAAGATTAGTATGATGTGTGATGGATGATCATAAAGATGATCATGGATATTTGATACAATCACAATCATAAGTATTTGTTGGAGAACGAAATACTGGAATGACTCGCATGAGATTGTCACATGGACTAGCGTCATATGACCTGAGATGTCTACGGAATCCAACATGAGGAGTTGCGTACTTTGAATACGTCAAACGTTCTGCGTAATAGAAGGACTATAAAGGCTTATATCGGATATGACACGAAACATATGTTCCTCTTCCTCATCTAACTGAAGAACACTTCGAAACCCTGAGAACATATTGACAGATTTGGTATCAGTGAGAATATTATGGTAGGTCAAACTCATTAAACTCGTCAAATGTCATCTATTATAACTAATGTAATTGATCTATACATATCTGTGAATCCATACCGATCTGTCTAATCACATTTGTAAGTGTGACATAAAAACCTGGTTGGATTTGCTTCTTACACATCTTAGGACATGTGGGATCGACATCATTCACATCCATATACCATCTATTGGCGCCTAAACTATTCACGCATTGAAAAGGAAACAACTGCAATATGTATACCAACTAATCAATCAAATACTCAATCACATTAAATAAAACATAGATAAAAAAGTAACTCGTCATAAAAGGTATTACGAATCCAGGAAAGTGCCACTGAGCCCTCGGTGTAGGACTGCTTGCATACAACTTCAGTATATGATCGATTGTTCTTTTGAAAGTGTATCTCCCCCAAGGAAACCCTTCACAGAATTCTAGATTATTGACCATGTCAACTGCGTCATTTGGAATCACATCATTGTTCTTGATTCCATGGTCTAATACTCCACCTTGCAATATGATTATTTCTAATCTTCTCCTGTCCTCCACATCTGCGGTAAGAGTGCCATATTTATTGCTTCTGATATTGTCACCTTTGAATGTCCGAATATTTTCATCAGAAACTAGATTCCCTTATATTTAGCCCAATCTTATGGATACTTTTCACAATTTAGGCCGCAGATAATCGCATGCTCGGTGATCGAATATCTAATGAGTACACCATTCAGAACAAACCATCTGTTTCACTTCTCCTTCCAATTTTAGTGCCCGATGTAAGAGGACTGACGCCGGAACCATCTTCAATGTGTCCTTACATCTAAGATGGAAAAATATACCGAATTAGAATTCTTTTTTGAAATATGTAAATTCTTCATCCGTCAAGGCCTTTTTAAGAGATCCAATAGTCTGATATGGATAACATTTCACTGTGATCTTAGGAGCCATATAAATGTTTTTAAAATCATATACAAAAGGTACTTGCAAAAACAAATTTAGCACTCATTATCAGAATCGTCAAACTCGTCACAATGCGACTTGTTTGACGAGTTTGAACACTTTGCTTCGTTTTTAGTTTGACTTGTTTAACGCGTGCGCTCAGTTTGACTAATATCTAGCATGACCACTAATCTATGTTTTAGTGCATCCGACTGTCGACAATATCATCGTAACTCGATTCCTATATGTCTTTTTCACAAAAGATTGTTTCTCACCAATCCGAAAACCTTATTTCGATATTTCGGTGACAATTTGTCACTGAAATCCTAATTTTTCTAATTTTTATTTCACACCCTAATCTTTAAGGAAAACTTAATAGAAAATCCAAAACCGAATCTCAATCTGCACCCTAAATCCTAAAAAATTTGATTTTCGCGGAGTTCAAAAACCATACCTGGAGGTCTTCGCAAATAAGAGTCGAAGAAGGGGCCGAAGATGATGAAGACGAAGCCATTCTTCGTTCACTTTACTTGCAAACACGAAATTGCAGAAAAATCGCACCAAAAAAAAAAACGCACAGTGAAGAGAAAATGAAGAAGAAACAATACTACGAAGAAATGAAACTGTCTTGTCGAAAAGGACCTAAAATAAACTGTTTGGTTTTTCAAATTTGTTTAATTTAGTAACTTCCCAACTTTTGGTCTTTTTTCTTCAGATGTTGTCACGTGTATTTTTAAAAGGGGTAATGATCTTTTCATTATTTTTCATTTCTTTTAAATCCTAGATTTTAAAGAGTATGTAATGTAAGTAAAATCGACATTTATGGTATTTCTGTAATATTCTTATCTTAACATAGAAAGAATACCTTTCATTATCTTTTTCAACTTGTAAACAATCATTTTTTACATCAATGTGGTTATTTTTACGAAGTAATATTTTTATAAGATATAACAACTTGATTTCACATCAATAATTTATAAAACAGATGTAGATGTATATTGATGTGTACAATTAATAATAATCATAATAATAATACACGAAAAACACAAAAAAAACGTTAGTTTTTATGAAATATCCTATTAAAATCCTCATTATACATTGACCTGAATAGGATTATCTTTATAAAACATCAAAATATATTTTTAAAAAAATTTAATTAGATATTAACTATCCTTATGAATAAACATATAAAACTATAATTGTATTAATTTATTTTCTTTCAATAAATTTAAAAATATATGTATAATATTATTTTTACACAAAGTAGTTTTCAATAAGGGATAAAAATAGACAAATTAATAAATATAGTAGTCGTTTTGGATGTATTTTATAAGAGATAAATATTTGTTTGTTCTAAGAGATTTATTTAGTTCTTTAGATATTTAAGGTTTTAACTATATATTTTAAAAATTAAGATTTTTTTTTTAAAAAAAATCAACAATATAATACAAAGATGGTAATGTGTTTTATAAGTTTACATAGATAGATACATGGACAGAAAGTTATACATAAAAAATGCAAGTGCATATAAAATAGCTAATATGGAAATAATCAACCGATTTATAGAAGAAAAATAAATAAATGGAGCAGCATTTATTTGAAAAAAAATATATATTTTGATATAAGAACGAATTTGATCAAAACGAAAACATTTAAAAAGCGAGGAAAAAGAGAATTTCTATTCGGGCACGTCAAAGGCCCAACATGGAACTGTAATGGATCCGAGAAAATTTTCCATCATAATTTTCTGTTTGGATCTATAGAAAATTTGGAGCCCATCCCTTCAGTTTCCTCAACTTCCTCGTTTCGTGGGCAAGGGAATCAAAGAATTGAAGTGGGAAAAGTTTCTGTCGGAGAAATTCGATTCTTCGCCCGTAGCAAGCTTCGATCTTCGATTAAGGAGAATCGAATTTAGGTATCCAATTGAAAAGATCTCAGAGCATACCTATGGCGGAGAAACCTCAGCCGGTGAAAGTTTTGTACTGCGGCGTCTGTTCTCTTCCCGCCGAATACTGCGAATTCGGTCCCGATTTCGAGAAATGTAAGCCTTGGCTCATAAAAAACGTTCCGGATCTCTATCCAGATCTTCTTAAAGGTGAGGAAATGATGAAACCCTAATCTTGAGATTTCGGTTAGCTAGGTCTTTGTTGATTTCGCTGAATCCGTTTCATTTGGGTGTGTTAGTATTCTTCTTCTGTATGTTCAATAGCGATTCATTTGCTGAAGTCAGGTATTTAGTTCCATAGATAATAAGGCTTTTAGTTGCCTCGGGTTTTCTGTCCGAAGAACTTAGAAATCCATACAACTCGAAACTCCAATCATATCATGACGCGTGTATACTCGCGAGCGCGTTTATATGTTTATGTATATAAGCTTATGTATGTCTTTAGCATATGGGTGCGACCGTTTTGGTGAAAATCCGGTAAGTATTCAACAGGAAGATGATAAAGCTGACATTCTTTTAGGGTTCTCGTAGTTGAAATCAAATACATAATCTGGCATGAAAACCGTCCCCTTTAGAAAACTTGGAAACTTTTTTTCTGGTGTGTGATCGGTTTTTATAGTGCGGGATTATCAATGACTGTTTCCTGGAACATTTGCTTCTGAGTTTTCGAGTCTGTTTCATCGTTCTTCTTTTGGTGATTTTTCCCGTTCTAAGATTATGTTTTGGTCTGATGAATATTATCTGTTTGTTTGATGATGTGATTTCATGTCCAGAATCTGATGACAAGGCAGCTGATAAGGTTTCCGACCGACTCCAGTCTGTTGGAATCTCTTCTGGTGGTTCTGATGGAGCGCCTTCTTCAGGTCAGTCAGTCTATTACTTAATACGAATGTGCGTACAGTGACATATATCCACATGATTATGTGTCCCGGATTCATGTACAAGTATAATAATCTTCTCCGACGACTCGGTGGTTTATCTGCTTACACTTTTACATGTGTGGGTTGGCGTGTACGTATGTGTATGTGAGCATGGCAGCATGCATGACATGGTTCTCTGCATGGGCAGAGTTTCATTGTTACAATTATTCATGATAATGCGGGTGGGTTTTAAGTTAGATTTATTGGGTTTTCCATATTTATAGGGCAAACATCCAAGCCGGAAGAAGTGAAACGTCTTCCGGGTGGCAAAATAAAGAAGAAAGTAAGTAACTTTTCTCTTGCTTACTTGCACATCAAACGTATAGCCCAATTTTACATGTAAACTCAGACAACAAACACAAACTCGGGCCTCCATTACAAATTTTGTATCATGTTTGTTCTTATGTATCATGAATAGGACAAACAAGAAGTTATTATAGAAAAGGTTGTCCGTAACAAGCGCAAGTGTATCACAATTGTGAAAGGACTTGACCTATTTGGTAAGTTGTTTTCTTCTGCATTACACATCATTATGACCTTCTCACTGGAAATAGATCTCACTTTCTGAACCTAAATATCGCCTAAGGCATTAAACTAAGCGACGCCTCTAAAAAGCTCGGGAAGAAGTTTGCCACTGGAGCATCAGTTGTTAAGGTACGTGTACACGATGAATTGCAAATTTCATTCGATTACAAAATAGGGGTTATGTGCTTAGAGAAGTAGTGTGTGAGTCCCTGATTGATAATAATTCAAGAACATTTCCAAAGCGATATATGTATGCATATTTATACGGTACTGGTTATTTCTATTTCCCATTTGTCACCTCATACCCGATTTATATGACATGCAATTGTTTCAGGGACCTACTGAAAAGGAGCAAATCGATGTTCAAGGAGATATAATCTACGATATCGTTGAATTCATCACAGACACCTGGCCAGATGTAAAATCTTTTCTCCTCGTGACTTGTGATTGTTTCATTCATTCTTTTGAATGATTTCATGCAAGTGTTCTTGCAGTCATTCCTGATTTTTTCATTGGCCATATCCAGGTACCCGAGTCCTCCATTTTCTTCATCGAAGATGGGAAGAAGGTTCCGGCTGCTTGATGATGATGATCGCCTTCGTATGGTTTTTCGGCTATGCCATGTGAAAGATCGTCACTGTAAAACTTTAGATTATGTCATATTGTCGGGATTCTCATACTGTTTTCCTCATCTGGGTTCGACAGTTTCTCGTGGAGTTCTTCCTCGGAATCTTCTTGGTATGGTCTTTGTTTCTGAGCCCTTAATGTCCAAGCTTTCTATCGGTTTTTCACTTACCATCAAAGTTTTGGTTATAGTGAATCAGTTGGCAATTAGACTTATATCAGGATCGTAAGATCTTTGCTGAGAAAATGAGAGAGAGGCTGAGAAAGTGAGAGAAAATGAAAGAGAAAGTTCTAATCTTGTTGATTCATTCCATTATTGTTTCACACATATAACATTACATTTTGCATATGTGGCATAATTGTTCTAACGGAAGTCGTTATTTACAGTCTGATAACTCAGAGTACCTTATCCGATCCGTGAGATTTTCGGGCACTTATCCATCTGACAGTAGAGCTTTGGATGTTGGCCGGCAAGAACCTGTATTTGTCGGAAACTTGTCACCTCCTTTGTTTATGATTAGCGTTAGGGTTTGGTGCTCCATCGATCTGAATCTCTGACGCGTTGGATTAGGGTTTGGTGTTCCTTGATCTCATCTTTGGTTTAACCTCTTTAAAATATTAAGGGTATTATGTGGATTATCCACACCAATGCTGTGACGGGTACGGGTTCAAAATCACGGGTATCTAACTCATTGTGACAAATACTGTAAAACCCAAGCCACATATTGGGTTGATAACCCCATTTATTGGTTTATACCGGTTTAGGATCAATCTAAACCGAATCAATCACGGTTTATCTGTCATTGTTGCTAATAAGACCAAATTCATATATATATATATATATATATATTGTGTACGTACAAACATATGCCTGATAATGTTGATACCAATGAACGGTTCTACTCCGGTATACATTGCCATTACATTTACATCCGTGAAGTAACCGAATGAACCGATCCTCTCCTCTCACCCGGTTTACTTGTACCCGAATCATATGGTCCGGGTTTCACAAATGATAAAACAATGGAAGCAAGTTCACACTGGTGAGAGGTGAATTCATGATCAGCACCTTCTACGAGTTGCAGTTGATGATTCTTAACGGATTTGACGAACTCCGATGCATCAGTTGCAGGTACGATTCTATCAGCCGATCCATGAACTGTCAACACCCTGAAACCACCAATGTGAATCTGAAAACTTCCATGTAATTCGAGAAATAACAGTTTAACCGATGCGGATGAGAGATTTTTAAGGATTAAAACCCGAGACCTGCAGTTCTTGCTAATGGAGAAACAAGCTGCAGAAGTATCTGTTGTGAGTCGGTCTTTTAGGCTCTCTTCAGTTACCCTGTACTCGAATTTACCTGCAAGCCGAAAAAGAGATTAGAGTACCGATGACCCCGAGCCCTAAACTGTAATCCTAAGTCCTAAACCCTAAACCAATTCCTTATCTCTATCAGATATTGAACTTAATACCTACGGACTTGATCTAAGAGGTGCAAGATTGAGTACAATGGTCTACCTATAGGTAAAGTTTATGTTCGTTTTCAGAAAGCTACACATTTCAATCGCAATTGTGAACCAGATGACGTACAAAACGTTAGAAGTTGGAATGTTACCCCTTCTGTTCCTGACATCGATGAAACCCTTCTCTTTGATTCTCTGCAAGTACTCCTTACCAAGCCGACCTTCCATTCCCCGGTCGAGAAAAAACCGACCCGATATATTCACTACTGTATCTACGTCATTATACTTTGCTGCATACAGAAGGACCACATTTCCACCTGACAGCGACAAGCTTGAGACTTTACAGATTTTCGCAATGTTCAAACCAAGAAACCCATCTCAGTTATACGTTTACAGACTGACCTTTGCTATGCCCGATTATCGCAGAAATCTCATGGTTTTCCTTGCGGAGGTATTGCAAAACAGAGCGTAGATCTTCAGCTTCCCGCCAATAATTGCCATACTGAAATGAACCTTCACTTTCCCTGGAACATGTGAAGGAGAAAAACACTACTGTTCTTGATCCATTATATAAAACAGAGAAAACCGGACATTATACACACATAGTAATGTTGTAAACCAGTTTTAGCAAATAGTAACTGCTAAAACACAGATCGAATAAGTCAAACGGATAGAATGTATCATCCATCTTGTGAGAACAAGAATGGGGAATCAATTAACTCATGCTGCAGACATCAAAACCCAAGTTTCATGTACAAATAGATGAACTTACCCGTTTCCAGCAAAATCAAACCGAAAAGAACTGATCTTTTTTCTTGCAAAGACACGGGCAAGGGTCACCATAGGAATCCGATCCTAGCATTAGGTATACACATATATATATAGAGAGAAATCAAAAGTTTTTCATACCAATGGAATCTAAACGGGAGAAGAACCAAATTAGCAACGAACAAGTATGACAAGAATGGAGCAAGATTCAACCTTTGATGACTGAAAGCCGTGGCAGATGACAACGATCCCAGTAGAACCCGTGTCATGAAATACTCCCACCAGTTTCTCCCCATGACTGTTCTTGATCGCAATTCTTCGCAGTTCAATCTCTGCTGAGAATTCCAAAGCCAATATTAAAACCACTGGCAAGTTAGATCAACGAAGACATGAGAGAAGTCCACATAGCAACAACCGATCTGATAGATACAATGCCTGGACGAAGTTTTCTACATTAAAACCAGTAAGTAAGTCGAATCAATTGTAAAATTGAGACGATTAGACGCGAAAACAAATTTAGGGTATTCTAACAAATTAATACCCCAAAATCGAAGGTCACATTCAAAGTTTTCTCCGTCTGATCAACAAACAGCCAAATCTGGCGAAGGATATGAACAGTTTGCGGCTTGGGAATCGCAAAACTACCATTTTATTACCTGAAATCTTATCGAGCTCATCAGAAAACGAGATATTTTGAGGATTGAAAATTAACCCTACAAACCAAAATCGCATTCCCAGTTCGAAATTTCTCTATTTGATTAAAGATTCCATCTAGGTTCAATGACAATAAAAATTAGGGGTTTTGTTTTCTACGTGTAACAGATCGTTGATAGAGAAACAAGACAGACAAGACTATCTTACCCGAGTTGCCGACTCGTTCATGGCTCGATTGACTGAGGCGAGTTACCGACATGGTCGAGCAGGGAGAAATCCAGGCTTAATTTGATATGCCTATGGGTGTTGTGTCCGTACGATAATACCTCGTCTACTCCTTTTCCGGCGCGTTTTAGCCGCGGCTCGTGCCATTTATAGTTTCCGGTTTCACAATAACTTTTAAAACACGTAGATACCCCTGTATTTTTAGAGAGTTAAATAAATTTATATATTTTAAAATTTATCGATTTTTTTAATTTTGAAAACTATTCATCTACAATTTTAATTATTTTAAAATTAAAATAAAACCTAGAATTTTATAAAATAGAAAAATTTTATAATCAATTAATAAAAATTAGAAATTTTGATATTTATATTTCAATTAATAAAAACATTATTATATTTATTTAAATTAGGATTATTTAGATTAGGACTGATAAATACGATCATTTTTAGTTATTTTTATAAATATAAAATTATTGAATTTTTTGTTAGTTATTTTTTAATAGATAATTATAGTATAAATATAATTGAGAAAAATAAAATATTAAAGAATTCAAATAGAAGTTTATTAATTAATAGTTAAAATGTCAACTATATAAGTATGGATCATTATGTATCATATTATAATATAATTATAGTGTAATATATTTAATACATAAAAATTTAATAAAAATTATAAGCTTTTAGATATTTTATAAAGGTTTTATGTTTTATTCGGATATGTGTATTATTATTGAGTTTTTCATTGAATGTTTTTAAAGTTAAAGGTTATTTTTTATAAATAGAGATTTCTTTGAATTTATACAGTACTACTGAGGTTTTAAATGGATTTTTTTAAATTGAGGAATTTTTGAAAACTTTTCCAAAACTGCATACTTAATGATGAGTATATAGAAATTCGAATTTTATTTTTTTAATTATTTTAAGTCATCTTAGACAAAAAGAAAATTAAATTTAACCTACAAAATTAGAAAATAGGAATAATTGTTATAACTTACATTTAAAAATAGATTTATGATCTTTTTGTATTTTTATTTAAAAATAATTTCTTTTATATGGAGTTAGAATATGGATAGATACCTAAATCTGAATTTTGGTAACAAAATAAATATAATTTTGAAATTTTAATAAATAATATATATGTTTTTAATCAATAGTATCCAAGATATCTTTAATATATATGTTTTTAATAAATTCTCAAGAAAAATAATCAGTTTATAAAATATTTTTTGGTTTTCTTAATTATTTTTTTAATAATCCAGAAATTCACCGGGTCTTTGACCCGACTGCATCTCCTAGAGGACCGGAGAAGACCAGTTGAATACCCTTCCCCACACTTGGATTTGAACTCAGGATGAGAGCATGCTTTGCATGTTCTCTCACACTATACCACCCTCTTAGTGTATCTGTTCTTAGGCGTTTGGTTTATTCTGGTTTTAGACCATTTTATTGTTTTCGGTTTATTTTTGGTTTTCTGGTTTGATTGTTTAGTATAAATAGTTTGTACTGTTGCATTTTTGTGTGTTAATGAAAATCAGAAAATTGTCCCAGTTTTCCCTCTCACGCAATTTCAAATTCTCTCGAGTTTGAAAATGCAAAATAGTATTAGAGCAAAGATGATTGTGATTTCTGCTTCTGAATTCAATCCATTCGTTTGATCTTTCATCTATTTCGTTGATTTTTTTTTCGATTTCTGGAGATGTCTCTTCCTCCTGAAATTCCGATTTCAACTGATGCTTCGGCATCTTCTTCAGTACCAGCTCCCACAGTTGCTGATCCTTATGCTAGTCCACTGTATATTCATGCGGCGGACAATTACAGCTTGATTTTGGTATCTGCGAAGCTTGAAGGTGAGTCGAATTATGGAGTTTAGGCAAAGTCAGTTTTGAAAGCGTTGAATTCGAAAAATAAATCGGGATTTCTTCATGGAACTGTCCCAAAGCCAGCTGCTAACCATCCGGATTACAATCTTTGGTCTCGCAACAATGATCTCGTTTGCATTTGGTTAGTTAACTCTGTTTCTCCTGATATCGCTAGTCAGATTGTCCATCTTGATGATGCTTTTGATGTTTGGAAGACTCTAGCTCATCGGTATAAGCAACATAATGTTTCCAAGATCTTTAATATTCAACAACAAATCGACTCCCTATATCAAGGATCTATGAATTTGAGTGTGTATTTCACCAAGTTGAACTCGTTATGGGAAGAACTTAAGAATCATGAACCATTACCGTATTGTAATTGTGGTGGTTGTACTTGTGGAGGCTATCGTTGCAATTTGGAACAACGATGGATGGAATTGTATGATAGGCGGAACATTGTACGTTTTTTGATGCGTCTGAATGATTCATATCAAGCTGCACGACGTCAAATCCTTATGATGGATCCATTGCCTAACCTGTCTCGTGTATACAATTTGGTTGCTCAAGAGGAGCAGCAACAACTCAATCTTTCTCTCAACACTCAGTCTGATCAAGCTGTGTTTCAGACAAGCACTTATTCTAATAAGCCTAGATTTACTCCTCAACAATCTCATCAGTACAAGTCTTCACAGTCACATCCTCAACTATCTCATCAGAACAATGCTTCTCAGCAACAACAACATTCTCGTCCTCGTCCAGTCTGTACTCATTGTGGTTTGATAGGACATACTGTGAATCGGTGCCACAAGATCTATGGTTATCCACCTAATTGGAATTCCAGATCATCAGCTCCACACAAAGCTAGGAATGCTTTCAATGATGCGGTTCAAAATCCTGTGAATATGATGACTACACATTCAGAGAGTGGAAGTGTGGCTGAAACTAGGAAAGCTACAGTTGATCCGTTTGCTGACCAGAATGTCTTGGAACAAGCCCAAGCTCTGTTAGCTAAGTTCTCCACACAACTTAAGAGTCATGGTTCTTCTTACAATGATCAAGTGTTTACAACTTCTCACTCTCCTCCCACTTCTCCAGGTAGTACCTCTTCTTTCCCCATTTTATCTACTATTGGACCTAGCCTTACATTACCAAATGCAGCGTGGATTGTTGATACTGGTGCTAGTACGCATGTATGCTGTGATCAGATATTGTTCTCAATGTTGTTTTTCATTTCTCCAGTTTCCATTACTCTTCCTAATGGATCCTTGATTACTGTCAATCAGTCATGTTCTGTTCAGATATCCTCTTCGCTTACACTAACTGATGTTCTCTTTGTGCCTTCATTCCATTTTAATCTTCTGAGTGTTAGTGCTCTCACTAAACACAATTCCATTTAAGTAACATTCACTGCAACTTCTTGACTAATTCAGGACCTTACTCAGGCCTGGATGATTGGCAAATGTAGGCTGCAGCAGAATCTCTATCTTTTGGACATGCGGCAGTCTACTCAGAAACATATTTCCTTGACTTCTCCTCTTTGCACAATCATAACAACAGCTCCTCTTGACCTTTGGCATCATCGACTCGGGCATCCATCTTCACTAAAGATTCAGACTATTTCAAAAACATCTCAACTATGTTTTACACCAATAAAAGATGACAGTTTACCTTGTTTTGTTTGCCCTTTGACAAAACAGAGACGTCTTTCATTTCCCGTTTCAGGAAAACGTTGTTCAAAACCTTTTGAGCTTCTACACATTGATGTTTGGGGTCCTTTTCATGAACCCACTGTACTTGGACAACATTATTTCTTCACGATTGTTGATGATTGCACACGTTTGATTTGGGTATATTTGATGGTCAATAAAAGTGATGTTAAAGCCAAGTTTCCTCATTTTATTGCCTTTGTTGAAAAACAATTTGACATTTCAGTCAAATCTGTCAGAAGTGATAACGCTCATGAACTTGCTTTTTCAGATTTCTTTGCACAAAAAGGTATTCAACATTTTCGTTCATATTCTTATACGCCTCAACAAAACTCGGTTGTTGAGCGTAAACATCAGCACATTTTAAATGTCGCACGATCTTTGCTTTTTCAGTCAAATGTGCCTTTGTGCTATTGGGGTGATTGTGTTCTTACTGCAGTGTATCTCATTAACAGAACCCCATCAGTTTTACTTGATAACAAGTCTCCTTTTGAAGTTTTAACAAACACAAAGCCTAATTATGATCATCTCAAAGTTTTTGGTTGTCAGTGTTATGTTTCAACTCAACTTAAAGATCGCAATAAGTTTTCACCGAGAGTTGTTTCTGGTGTGTTTTTGGGTTATCCGAGTGGTGTCAAAGGTTATCGAGTTCTAGACATCTCCACCAATAAAATCGTCGTTTCCCGCAATGTGATCTTCCATGAACATGTGTTTCCCTTTAAGACTGATTCATTGCCTTCTGCAACAGTTGATTTCTTCTCAAGTTTGCCATCTCCTTACGTTTTGCTTGATTCCGAATAGAGCAATAATCAAATTTCTTCCCATACGTCTCCAGACTCTATTTCTGAGAAAAAATCTTCTGAAGTTGCAGTTCCTATTTCTGATTCTGTTGACATTGAGAACAATGCTAGGCCACAGCGTCTTGTCAAAACACCAGCTTATCTTAATGACTACCACTGTTATTTGCTTTCTCATAATTCTATACCTTCTCAGACCCCAAAAACACCTTACCCTCTATCTTCTGTTCTTACCTATAACACTTTAAACCCTTCTTATCGTAACTTTGTTTTGTCCATTTCTATACATTATGAACCAAAAACCTTTACCCAAGCTGTAAAGACTGATCATTGGAAAAAGGCTATGGTTCTTGAATTGGAAGCTTTGGCACGAACAGACACTTGGTCTGTGGTTCCACTTCCTTCTGGTAAGCAACCTATTGATTGTAAGTGGGTCTTTAAGACCAAATATAATCCAGATGGGACTGTTTGTGACACCCGTAACCCGTGTACAGTATACGGGCTGTGCCACATGGACGATGTAAGGTAAAATAATAAATTAATAAATGGCGGAAGCAAAAATTCCAAATCCAAAAACATTTTAAATAAACCAGAGTAATCAGCGGAAAATACAACAGACGATTAATATCGTAAAATAACACATGTCCGAATAGTTATAATTTAACCGTACAAAATGTGGGAAATACAAGTTCCGTAACCCAAAATGTAAATCCCGTACATGATGCTGCTTCTCTCGGTTCGTCGTCTGCTGAGGCGCTAGGCG